GTTCAGGGGATCTCGTAGTCGAGCAGTCTCGACTAGAGCTTTCTTACTTGTTCCAGATAATTTCACTTGGGGCTTTTCTATCAGTTTATCAAACTGTTTTGTGCTTTGAGTCATGTTTCTCATATCGGACTCGATTGCAAAGATCTTGGCTTGGGCGGGCAAGCCCGTTTACTGTTTGCTCTATGGCCGGGACACTCTGGACTCCTGGTGGATGCGACTCACGCGGCATCTGTGCAGCTTCGTGGTGGGCATCGTATTGGGCTATTTGCTGTGGATTCTCTTTGCCATGAATGCCAATTTCGGTCTCATACTGGAGCGCCTCATGCCGGCGCGCATGGTACTGTGGGTGGTCATCCTGTGGAGCGGACTCTCCTATATGATAAGCCGCAATGTGCGTGTGATAACGTTGCTGATGTTCGTCAGCCTGCTGGGCAAGGCGGGCCAGAGCTATCTGCGCGCGGTGGCCTTTGCCTTTGTCATTGCGGGGCCCATCGACAATCTGGTGCAGAATGCGCAGGAGGTGGCTCGCGTGTTCTCCTGCACCACATTGCTCACCTACAATCTGACCAAGACGCGGTTTGATCTGATGGCCAAGCCATTCACAAATACACTGCAAACGATGCGGGAAGACTTGAACGAGATTCAGGGCAATTTCCGGGAACTGCAGAGCATTCTGGAAGATCTCAAGTACGGCGTGGAGAACACAAACATCGAGGACGAAAAGTTTGGCCACAAGCAGCTACGCAGAGCTGCCAAGAATGCCAGCGAGCCCACCTACAACAATTCGAGCACACAGATGCCCAAAGCTTCTGCCGTCCAGGCGAAGTTCCTGCGCAACATGCGAAACCGTTGCAAGCACCAGCTGCGCAGTGGACATCGCGTCTGCCAGGAGATATTCCTGCAGGGCTATCGCAAGTGCACGACCAATTTTCCCGACTGGCTGGTGGGCGTAATCTGCTGGCCCTACCGAGTCGATGTCATATGCAAAATCAACATGTTCGGCAACCCGGATAAGGTGTGCGATGCCTCAAAGGTGAAAATGTCCTCCAAGTCAAAAAATTTCTTTAGCTCTCATTGGCTCTCATCCTCTTCCAGGTGGTTCCTCCCAAGTTTGGCGAGACCTATGTCAAGCTCTTGGTGGCCGAGCATGAGCTGTATGACAACAACTCCAATATCGAGATCACCTATCAGCTGCAGAACATCACGACCTCCGAGCAGTTTCTGAGCGCCAAGGAGACGTCGGAGCAGTTCATGCAGGAGTTTGAGCACAAGAAACGCATCTTTCAGACCGTCATGCGAGTGGTGGAGAAATTCATGTATTTGTTCGTGCTGATCGTCATATATTCGTCGATCAGATACCAATATCTGTACTGCACCGACCTGGAGTTTGACAATATTTACATAACGGACTACTTCAGGCACGTGGACGAGCGTCGCAAGCGGGAAAAGAAACGGTCCGTACTGCCGCTGCGCAGCCACGAGAAGGCCATGTTCGTGTATGGGCTGGGACGGAGCGAGGGCAGGGCGATCCATATATTCAACTTCCTGCACTTGTCCCTGGAAATGGTGACAGCGGGCGTGTTCATTGTGCTCGATCATCTGGTCGTCAGTCTGCTGCAGATAATTCACCAGCGATCGCTGATCACCTATCGGCAGGAGGGGGAACACGAGGTGCGCTTTCGTGTGAGTATGCATCTGAATAGGAGTTATGAGGGGGCGCATATTGAACTCGCTAACCCATCTTCCCTTAGATCAATGGCACTGGGCTGATGGCTCGACTGCTGCGCACCACCATGAGGAACTTCAACATACACGAGCGCGTCTCCACGTCGCTCAGCAACGAGGAGTGCCTGCCGGTGGCCCATGTACTGCCGCGAGCCTTCTACATCGAACTCTTGCTGATTTACCTGATCATCTTGCTGCTGATCTACGAGAGCACCAGGCTGCTCGGCCTGCGTCGCACCATCTGCAGCTACTTCTACTACAAGCACGAGAAGAAGCGCATTCTCTACCTGTTCACCACGTTCCTGCGCTCCCGACTCTACAATAGGGAGCTGCTGCTCAAGCGCGCCGAACAGAACCTGGCCTCGCGCCACCTCCAGGGCAAGAGGAATATATTTCTACTGCTGCGCCTCAAGGCGCCCAAGTACTTTGGCTGGCTGGAGCGCTACGATTGCGCCAAGCGCCGATGCCTCATCTGCAGTGTTGTGGAGAACGACGAATTCGTCATCTGCGACCGGTGCACTCTGCCCTACTGCAGGCCCTGCTGCCGCGAGCTGAAGTTCATCTGCATCTACTGTGGCAATCTAATGACAGCCACAGAAGACTACGATAGTGCTGCCACACGCGACGCCAATCTCTCCAATCGCAAGGAGAAGTGATAGATCTAGCAAATCTCTCTCGGTTAATCGAGCAATATACATGTAGATATTGATTTGTAGAAAATGAAAAATTAAAGAAATAAATAATGAAATGAGCAAGAATGCAACTTCTTTCTTTTTGGAGAGGGAGAGGTGCTCTAGTTGGGATTTCCCGGAAATAGAGAACATATCCTTTATATTCCAATCACTTAACTCTATTTTTTTTCGTATAAAAACTTTATAATATGCAAACAACTTTTTTATGCATGACTGGAATCTATTAGTCGATTAATGTTTCCATCCATCTGTCCTTTCTGATCTAATCAGAAGCAACATTTGATACTTCATCAAATCTTACACACTCTGTAGTAATATCTTTCTTTTATAGTCATTTTCTCTCTCTCTCTCTCTCTCTCTCTCTCTCTCTCTCTCTCTTTGCTCTTTATCTTCTTTTCTCTCCTCTGTTAATATTTTCCTCAATATACATGCCTAAGTTAAACTACCTTATATAGCAGTCATACATCTATATCGCCTGCACTACTCAACTCAACTCGATGTTCCTTTGAATGCATCTAGAGTTTCTGGAATTCTTGTCAACTTGTAATGGGATCTGTGCAGTAATTGTCCATTTTCCAGTCTACAGAACTTAATTCTTGGTGGGCTTTTGTCTGTGTGTGTGTGTGTGTGTGTGCGTCTCTTTCAGCTCCCTTTGACTGTGTGTTCGCCTGGAGCGACGTCTGGTCTTTTCGTCTGCTGTTTGGCAACATTTCCTCAATCTTCGTCGGGTATGGAGGGTAGGGGCAACCCTTTAGTCTCTTGTTGTCCTGTACCGGTCGCTCTCCTAATATAATTATGCACATGTCTAGGGTGCCGCTTGTTGTTGCTGTTGTTGTCCTTAGACAAACTTGAACCAGGCATTATGCAGCCCCTTTTGCTGATTCCATTATGTCTGCAGAAATTTCAGGACTGCCGGATTAAGTTGCAAAATTGTTAATTAAAAATAATAAAAACGCTAATTGAAGAAATGCCTACAGCGAGCAGCAGCACCCGGCAAGACGGAACTTTTTCGGGTGCCCAAACAAGATTGTCTAGACGGTCTTGTGGGTGCGCGGGCAGGGGGCGCGGTCGGGGTAACTGCTTTGGGGCACTTGGCGAAACAGTTGCAAGTTTGCGACAGCAGCTAAGGAGGCAAAGGGCGAAAGCGTCTTTGTCTTTGTTTTAATATTCATGCGGGCCGCATTCGTGCATGTAGTTTTGTGGGCGTGGCTACCTTCACTTACAATAAAATAATTATGCAAACAAAAGCAGCAGCCGCAGCAGGAAGAGTCACAGACATCGACCGCAGCCACAGACAGCTGCGTCTGCACTTGCGTCTTTCCATTGAAATTTCACACATTTTGACTCAACCCGCAACAGAAAATAAAAAGCAAAGTAAATTTATAAAAAAAAAAAGCAAAAAGAAAACACGGGAAATATGCGCAAATTTTCTTACGAAAAGCAAATACCAGAGCGTCAACGTTGAGAGTTGTGAAAAACCCCAAAGCAAGCAGGCAGTGCTCGCCCGCCCGCCAATTGACTCGCTCTGCCAGACTCTCCGTGTGCTGCTATTTCTTTCAATTCTCCTCTTCTGTTTTTTTGTGGGCTGCCGTGTGCGAAGGTGATTATTTGACGTTCACACCTTGTCCGCCAGTTGGAACTGGGCGAGGTCGTCGCTTGTCTCCCAGCTCTATCACCCATCGCCATCACCCATCGCCATCTCCATCTCCATTGTTGGCGGTTGTTGTGATCAGCCACAATAGTGACAGGTGTGACAGTGGTGCGACAGCAGAGGGCGGCGGGCGGAGCTCTGTGGGCAGGCAGCCCAGTTTTGTGGAGCAACGAGGCAGCTATGAAGATGTAAACTAGACGAGACGACACGATGAAAACTGTAAAAGAGAAAAGAAGCGAAGAAAATTATTTCCTAGAAAAGCGTCGAGCAGCTGCTAAAACGAGCGTCCCATAAGGGCAGCCAAAAGGCTAAGCAACTGAATGAAGTGGAGAGATACCCTGTAATGCTATTAAGATATGATAAGTGAAAATATTTATGAAGGGCAATTTCTGACGGCTAGGAATTTCAATCAAAACTAGTCACAGAGTTATACGGTTGCTTAGAATCAGTTTGCATTCAAAAATAGGCATAGAGCTATAAGGTTTCGGACGAATGCACAAGACACCGAAATATATCAAAAAAATACCGAAAAAATACTAAAAGTAAAGCCTCTGACTTTTGTACTTCATATCTTGTGGACTTTTCGTCCGATTTTCGAGTGTAATGCCTTGTTAGACGCGTATTTATGCGTAGTATCAGTTT